GAACTGCCAGAAGATCCAGCAATTCACTCCCAGGTATATATTCCAAAGAACTGAGAGCAGAGACTCGAACGGATACTTGCACACCAAGGTTCACAGCAGTACATTCGCCACAGCCCAAGGTGGAAACGACCCGAGTCCATCGACAGATGAATGGAGAAACAAAATGTGGCATATCCATGCAATGGAATTCTGTGCCGCTCTAGACAGGAAGGACATGCTGACATGCTACAACATAAATCAGCACCAAGAACGTCACGCTACAAGAAATAAGCCAGACACGAAAGGGGAAATACTCTACGATTCCACTTATATGATCAAGCTGGAATAAGCAGATGCATAGAGACCAGAGCAGAAGCGCTACTGGGGGGCTCTCCTGGAAAGGGAGAGGGGCCTGCAGCTGGGACCAGGGAGACTCAGTGACCACCAGGGGGCGAGTTTTGCTTTCTTAGGACTGAAAACGGAATCTGTCAATGTTCTGTTTTCTCGAATTTGTTTTTGATGTTGAAAGTTGGGTGTCTTCCCTTTTCCCTTCTCTCTCTCTCTCTCTCTCTCTCTCACACACACACACACACACACACACACACAGTCCAAGGAAAGCAACAGATGGGCCTGGGAGGCGGAACCAGGGAGAGGCTCCCACAGAGCTTGTGGGCTGGGCTCCGACCCCACTGGCCCTCCTGCCCCAGGTCTGCCCCTGCCCTGCAGAGGCCTGAGCAGGTCACTCTGCCCCAAAGCCCTCCACAGTTCAGCAAACCCTTGCTCGGGCCTGTGCTGGGGACCCAGGGCCCGACACAGAGCAGGAGGAGGGGTCGGTGGAAACAGAATGGATGGACAGACAGGTAGAGAGATGGATGAGTGGACGAAGGGGAGTCCAATGGGCAGGGAGGGCCCACCCCCACAACCAGCCCGGGCTCTGAGATACCACATCCCAGCCAGGCTGCCAGGGAGGGCTTGGCAGCTTGGATCTGTGGGAAAAAACCAGCGACCCGGATGTGAGTGCTGGCTCTGCCCTCCCAGGTAGAACAAGGAGAAACCATTCCTCTCTGTGTGGGTTGGTTTTGAGAACGGGACACCAGGTACCAGACAGTCAGGCCAGGTCTCCCCCCACCACGCCCTGGGTTCTCAGGCTCTGAGAGCGCTGTGTGACTCGGAAGAGCCCCTCGCCTCTCCGAGCAGGGAGCGCTGGCTGCAGGAGCAGCTGCGAGGAGCCGGCCCCCCGCCCCCCACCCGCCGGCCCGCCACCGGCACCTACTTGGCGTAGGCCTTCTCCACCAGGGCACACCAGAACTCGTTGCGGGAGCTGGAGTGGCAGTAGATGAGCTGGTTGTTGACTGTGGGCAGCCGGTCATCAATGACCACGTCCACCCACTCTCCAAAGCGCCAGAAGTGGAAGTGGAAGATGCCCGCATAGGCATTGGGTTTCTCGGGGTCCCACTCCTGCTCCTTCCAGTCTGGGATGACCTGGGTGGAGGGGACAGGACAGGAACACAGTGCGGGTCACATCCGGCTTCCTGAGCACATGGGGGCGCCTGCCTCGAGGGAATCAAAACGGAAAGGAGTACTGGGTTCCATCCCCATCTCTGCCATGAATAAGCACGGGACTAGAGCGCACGCTTCTCATCTCTGGGCCTCAGTTTCCCTTCTCTGCAGTGGTTAGGCGTAGGCTCCTGCCAACTGTCTCTCTAAGACTCTAGGAGCTTCCCGCCCCCTTCCTCGGGCCTCCCTCTGCATCCTCCCATGCCTCCCAGTTCCCATCTGGCGCATGGTGCTGCCGCCACCCAGTCCAGCCTGAGTCCGAAGCTGGCAGCCACACCGGCCTTTCCCTCGCCCCAACCCATCAGGCCAATCTGAGCTCCTACATTCTGCTAAAATCCATCTCCCAGCTGTCCCCTGGCACCAGCCTGGGCAGCCCCCACCTCCTGGCCCCAGAACGCTGTAACAGCATCAGCCGCCACACGTGCCCTCACCCCACACAACAGCGCAGTGATCTTTCCAATCATGTCACTTCCCTGGGAAGTGAGTCCAAACCCTTAATGTGCGCTGCCCAGCCACCAGCTCCCGGGACAGCTTTTCTACCCCCCTCGGCCCCTGCTCCCTGCTCTGGGCTCTTTCTCTGCTCAGGAACTTTTTGCACCTGCACTTCCTTCTCCTCTTCATCCAGCTGATTCTCACTTGCCCTTTAGGATCCACCTCCTCCTCCAGGAAGCCCTCCTTGACTCTTCAGACCAGGCCAGGACCCCCGTCTGTCCAACTCATGGCCCCTGGCACTTCTCCTCGGGGACCATTACCGCAATTATAATTAAACAAGTGTGTGTCATTCTGTTCAATTCTGTTATTATCACTGGAACGTTAGCTCTCTGAGGACAGGGATGCATTGGGCCTGGTCATTGCTGTATGCCTGGCACCTAGTCCAGGGCCTGGCCCAGGGATGGTGCTCGATAAACAGGTGTTAAAATTCACAGGCATTGATTTTTACATATTATTTTATGGAACATCTGGGACAAGCCAGTTGCCATGCCTATAACTGCCAGGGCTTATCTCAGTTTAATTCACACAATAATCCCATGCGTAGATTACTATCATCCATCCCTCCTTTACAGCTAAATACCCCTAAGGCTCAGAGAGGGCAAGCAACTTGCCCAGGGTCACACAGCTAGAAAACACACACACTGTGGAGTCAGGCAGACCTGGGTTTGAAGCCAGGTCTTGTGACTTGCGGACCGCTCTGTACTGGGCCTGTGCTGACACTTAGGACCCAGGTGAATCAGCCACGGTCCCTGCCCCCAGGAGGCCCCCAGTCTGGTTCAAGAGGCAAATGCTGAGGCTGACATGGGGAGCATGGGGAGCGTGGAGAGAAGGGAGCGGTGGGCCCGACCTGCAGGGCCAGCAGCAGCTTCCTGGCAGGTGTCCTGAGAGCTGGCTGTGGGCGTCCCCCAAGCAGACAAGGCAAATCTGGGCAGCAGGAGGCCGGCAGACAAGGGAAAGCCCCTCACCCTAGAGTCAGGGTAACTTGCTGGCCCTCCCCAGCATGGGAGCAAGGGAGGGCTGACCCCACTGGGACCATGGACAGCTCCTTCTGGAAGAAAACCCGCCCCCAGGGATGGGGGTGGGCACCCAGGCATCCAGGCCGAGGAGCTAGAGATGCATCAGGAGGCCGTAAATCCCAAGGCCTAGACAAGCCTGCGCACGATACTTCAGCCTAAAGCCATTCCCCAACCCCCGCACTCATTAAGAAGGCTTTTGTTTACATACTTCCTACCATCAACAGGGATGTTGGCAAAGACAAATGGTCCCTGTGAGACACTGGAGACCAAGCAAATGAAAATGCCAAGCACCATGAGAGGGGCCACACTGCCAGTAGCGAGGCCTGCCCGGGGCCAGGCACAGACCGGGCTCTTCGCTCGGCCGCCCCTGGCCCATCCCACCACCTTTTGGGGCAATACCGTGGGAAGCTGCTGGCCCAATGTTGCCCATGAGGACCGGTGAGGGAGGTAGGATTCACACTCAAGGCTTCAGGGCCCACACAGCATCTGGAACCCAGCAAGGATTCAATACTGCCTGGTGGTCCCTTGTCAGTTAATTCTGCGTCCTTTCGAAAACCTCCCGGGCCAGTCTCTGCCCTAGCCCCCAGCATCCCCTCCCACTTTGCTTTCAGGACAGAAAGCTGTATCAAAAATGGGGCACATGCACGGTGGCTTATCATCCCCACTGCACAGATGGGAAGGCTGAGGAACGAGAAGCTGCCCAAGGGCACAGAAGGATAGGGAGTCTGAAGCCGAGCAAACTGGCCTGGCCAGTGCACCCTCCTCCACTCCTTCCTGCTCTGAAAGCTCTGGACTGCACGGGGACTGGGGAGGGAGGAAGAGGAGCCCTCGCAGGGTGCTGGGATGTACTCCTGGGGAGGCAGGAGGATCATCAGCCAAACCCGGGGTTTGGCCCTGCGTCCTCTGTGCCTCAGAAAGCAGCTAATGAGGCTCTAGGGCCTGGAGATCCTGAGTCAGGGATCCCTGCGGGCCTCAGTTTCCCCTCTACAACATGGCCGGTGGGCCCAGCACAGCCAGCTTCTTATCCCACACCCCCTCTACTACCAGCAGGGTCCTGAGTGAGAAGGCAGACACTCTCCAGGAAGGTGTGCTCACACAGGCACACAAACTCAAACCTTCCCACACCACGTTCAGTGTACCAGGAATCAAGGCAGCAACCAAGGACCCTCGGGCCACATCAAAGGATTCCAGAACCAACCTAAAGAGGCTCTCACTGGCCAAAGACGGGCCAAGCTCAGCATCAGTAAGGATAATTACTGCAATGGATGAACACACATCAAATACGTTCCAATCTATGAAACCACAACGATACAAAAACAAATAATTAGTCACTCCTGGAGGACAGCTGGGACTGGAGGACAGTTTCTTTTAAAACTGGAAAATTAAGGGAAACAATCGGGATTTATCCTGCCTTTTCAATACAAACTGTACCCAGTGGGTAACCAATAGGGAGGTTTGTATCTGGAGATGAGTTGCAGAAATGAAGAAGAGACTAGAATATTAGACTCTTGCCATTTTACGACCACTGGCAAATAATGGATGTAGTAATGGTCATCGACGGCTTATAACATCATGAAGAGGAGAGATGACCAGACATCACATGCCTCGTGAGAGAAGTACACAATGTCTCCTATGAAGCAGTCATGCCAAAAATTCGTACCTGAACCTTACGAAACCACTAAGGTAAGTCTGAGCTTACAGGAAGTGCGTGGCAGGGAGAACACCTGAAACAACAGCATGAAAACCAAGCCAACGATGGAAGAAAGAAAGGTTTAATATTGAGGAAGTTTCTACTTCAAGAATCTAGAAAAAAATTTTTCCCCAGGTAAAGGGAAGGAAATAATAAAGATAGCAGGAATCAATAAAATAGGAGACACTCAAAAAATAGAGAAAATGAGGGTCCATCTCTGGGCTCTCTATCTGTTCCATTGATCTGTGTGTCTGTTTTTGTGCCAGTACCATACTGTCTTGATGGTCACAGCTTTGTAATATATGCAGTGACCCGAAGGGGCACGAGCACCCCAAGGTTCATAGCAGCAATGTCCATAATAGCCAAACTGGAAAGAACCAAGATGTCTATCGACAGGTGAATGCATAAAGAAGATCTGATACACACACACACACACACACACACAATGGAATATTACTCAGCCATCAAAAGGATGAATTTACCATTTGCATCGATATGGATGGAACTGCTAAGTGAAATAAGTGAAATAAGTCAATCAGAGAAAGTTATATGGTTTCACTCACATGTGGAATATAAGAAAAAGTACAGAGGATCATAGGGGAAGGGAGAGAAAACTGAATGGGAAGTCATCAGAGAGAGAGAAAAACCAATGGAAACTCTTAACTCTAGGAAACAAACTGAGGGTTGAGGAAGGAGAGGTGGGTGGGGGGAGTGGTGTAACTGGGTGATGGGCATTAAAGAGGGCACGTGATGTGATGAGCACAGGGTACTATCTGCAACTGATGATTTACTGAACTTTACATTTGAAACTAATGGTATAAAATTTTTAAAGAAACATACACACAGGGGCACCTGGGTGGCTCAGTTGGTTAAGCGACTGCCTTCAGCTCAGGTCATAATCCCAGGGTCCTGGGATCGAGTCCCGCATCGGGCTCCCTGCTCGGCAGGAAGCCTGCTTCTCCCTCTCCCACTCCCCCTGCTTGTGTTCCCTCTCTCACTGTCTCTCTCTCTGTCAAATAAATAAATAAAATCTTTAAAAAAAAAAAAAAGAAAAGAAACATACACACATTTATGGCAGAAATTGGAAACCAAAACTCCTCCCGGGCATTTGATGCAATGAGGGAATTATCGTGAAATGTGAAATTATTTTAGTTGTGTTACAGGATTGCAGTCACAGAGTTTTGTTTCTGTTTTGTTTTGCTTTTGATGACCCCTTATTCTCCAGAGATGCATCCGGAAATATTTACAGACAAAATGACATGTTGCCTGGAGGGCGTGGGAGGGGGGGAATAAGAGGAAACAAGACTGGGGGAGAGTTGACAGTTGCTGAGGCAGAGGGAGGGGTACAAGGGAGCGCATTAAGCCATCTCTCTCCTCCCATGTTGTCTCCAGTTGAAACGCCCCATCCCCACGGCCCCCAGCTCCCTGTCCCCGCATTCACAGCCCTCTCGGCCTCACCCCCAAACACCGCCTCCCATCTCGGGCCCCAAGCAAATCTGCACGCCTGGCTCCCTCTCCGGTACCGTCCCCTTCCTTGTCCCTCAGGGGCGAGCTGAGCAGCAGCTTCTGGGCTCTCGGGGTCTGGAGCTCCCCGGGGGCAGCCCCTCCCCCAGGCTCTTTCCCTGATCACTGAGCGGAGCTTCTGGAGGGCGGGGCTGAGCCCCACTCCAGGCCCAGATCCCGCCCTCCCCCCCCCCCATCATGGGAGGCCAGCTCCACAGCCAGGCAAGTCTTTCTGGAAGAAAAGTCTCCAAGGGCCAGCCGCAGCAAGGCCCTGTCCGGCTGGTGACCTTGCAGCCACTCCTGGACACGTGTCCAACTGCACTGCATGGCCCGGACTCAGCTTCCGACCGGCCGCTGCTCAGCGTCGGCATCTGCCGCCCCTACTCCGGGGCTGCTGGGAGACCCAGGATGGACAGTGGCCTCGGGGGTGCCGCCTGAACCGCGGAGGGCTGTGCACCTGTGAGGGGTCATCCCGCTGGGGAACGCAGGACAGGCAGGTGCACCCACACAAGTCTGCAAACCTTGGGGCTGGTGGGCAGCTCAGGTGACCTGGTCAGCCTCCCTCCTGGGGGGAAACCTCAACAACAGCCCCCCATGCAGATGGGAAAAGAGAGGCCTGAGGGATCGACGCCCTTACTTAGGCTGAGCTGGCGGCCAGGCAAGGATTGTGTGGGATTTGGAGGCCCCCGCGGCACCCACTGCAGAATCAGCCCAGAAAGCTCAGGCGATGCGGGCGCCATGGGGCCCTGGTGCCTGGAACGCTCCTGGCTCAAATCCTCCTGGGACTCTGGCCAGTGGGACACGCCCGTGTGAGTGTGCAAGTGCGTGAATGTCAGTGTGTGTGCAGGTGTGGCATGGGGAAGGAGCTTTTCGCGGATTTCTGCCCCGGAGCCCAGAGGGCCAGCTGGGGGCATTTCTGCAAAAGGCCAGCAGGGCTGAGGGCTGAAGGGTTGCAGGGGGGCAGTTCCTGTGTTACCCAAGTCAGGTGGGTGAGTCCCCAAACTAGAGGATGCCTGGTTCCAAGCATCTGAAGTTCCTCAGTTCTCAGCTTCTGATTCCAAGAGTCTCAAATTCCTGGGTTTCAGATGCCACGACGGGAAGAGGCCAGGAAGCTTGGGCCCCCCACCCCTACTCCGCACACCCTCGGGAGCGCAGAGCCCCGTCGCTCACCACCCGGAGAGAGGACCTGATGCATCTGCAGGGGCCTGGGGGTTCCTGTCCACAGGGCACAGCCAGATGCTCAGAGACCCGGGTGGGACCCCAGGCTTGGGTCAGGCCCCCTCCTGCTGGGCTGCCCAGCTGCACCGTGGGGGCTAAAGATCCCCTCAGCTGGGCCACTCTGAGCCCAGTGATTATGGGAGGAGAATCCATGCCCTCTCGTCCACTCTCCAACCAGAGCCAGGCCCCCGCCTGTCCCTCCACCCCACACTGCCCGCTCCCAGAAGCATTGGGCTGCTGTGCCACCTCGGGCAACTCACTTCCCCTCTCTGAACCCTGCGCTGCTGCTCTGTAAATCAGTGCTGCGGACACTCCTCTCAGAATAACTGCAAAGTAAGACCATGCATCTACAGTGACTGGGAGAGTCACGATGAGCAAATGGAGAGAGGGTGCCGTGTGCCAGCTCCCGACGCCCTGAGTGTTTCACTAACATTAACTCATTTAAGCTTCACATGGGCCCTACAAGGAGGCACCATCATTAGCCCCTGCCAACAGGCCCAGGAGGCTGCCTAGGGTCACATCGGTGGTCAGTGGCGGGCCCCTCAGCACGGCACCCACTGCCTCAGTGGGAGGCAGAAGCTCAGGAGACGATAGGTCTCTTCACTCTATGGTTTCTTGTGGGTTTCCTGGAAAATGGGTCCTCATTTCCCACTTCCGGCACTCCCCACGGCCAGTCTCGGATGCAGAGCCAAGGAGGAGAGCAGGGGTGGAAGGGCTGGGCTCTGCTGCCCCTACCCCTTCCAAAGGCATCTTCAGGAGTGGATGGAGGCCGGGGCCGGAAGGGCAGGGCTTGGGGAAGGGAAACAAGGCAACCGCAGCTGCTCTGGGGAGGGCTCGGAGTGGAGGACGGCGCAGGGAGACCTGGCTGCGCAGAGCATTTCAAAGCAAGGGTCATTCCCAAGCAAAACCCCAAGTGTGGCCTCTGAAGCAGGACCTGACCTCGGTCCCTGGGAAGAAGCTGGCCTCGCCCGGGCCTGGGCCCTCAGGAGGGGTGGGGCACTGCCCCTGTCCACCCCAGGGGGCCACAGACCCAGAGCCTGGTCCACACACGTACCCCTCCTTTGGCCCCTCCAGGCCTGCTGTGACTTCAGGCAGATGGCCTCATTTTCTGGGCCTCTTCGTCTCTGTCCAAAAACTGAGTGAGCTCCAGAGAGATGACAAGGGGAAAGAGCTCTAGAGAAAGGCCAAGTGGGGCACTAAGGTGATGTTAAGGTGATGTGGTGGTCAGCAGGGGGCCGCCTGAGGACGTGCGTTCAACTGGTGACAGAGGCTGAGTGAAACCTGGACGTGGGCCTAACCCCACCCCACCCCAACCATGCCACTCCCCGTCCCGTCTGCCCCCTGCCCAGCCACCCTACAAGTCGGGGGAGACTGGAGATTGTGCATGGCTTGGACCAGACGGCACCTCCCTGGGGCCTCAGCATGGCTCCACGCTCCAGACAGAGGCTGGTCTGGGGGCCACGGGGGAAAAACTGTCAGGGGTGTTAATACCTGGCTGGGTGTCAGGAGACCCGGTTCTAAACTCCATCCTGATGTCTGACCTTGGGCCAGTCCCTGGACTGCTCGAGGCCTCATCTCTGAAAGCAGCAGGAGTTGAAGGGAATGCGGGAGAAGGCGCGGGAGGGCATGCTCAGGGCTCTGAGGGCTCGAGAGGGCTGTCAGAGCTCCTGAAGGGGCAGGGGTGGCTCGCGGTGAGAGACTGCACACCACGAGGTGGGGACACAGAGGCTTTATTGGGGACACACAGTGCATGGGGTGGATGTGGTGGCTCAGGGTGGGGGTACAGGCAGTCTGCACCACGAGGGCCCCCCGAGCTGCAGGGGGAGGTCAAGCAGAGAGGCGAAGGGCAAGGCCATCTCCAGGAGTCTGGACACCCCTAGCTGTCAACAGAGAAGATGGGCGGGCAAGCCCAGCCGGGAACAGGCCCGAGAGCTGAGAGTCAGAAAGGACCACAGCCAATCCCCACCTAAAGAATCCCAACTCCAACACCCCACTCCTGTCTGCAGGCCTCCAGAGTGGGAGCTCACCCTCCCAGCAGCCCCAGCCACCGAGGATGGCTCTCGCCCTCTGTCTCTCGGTTCGTCTATTCGTAGGGCCCCGCGGCGCTCAGTGGCTCTGCTTCGTGAGGAAAATGTCACGGGCCTGTTCCTGACAAAAAAGAAAAAAAACAGGGCTGGCCTAGAGACAGGGTGTTGGGGGCACTTCCTGAGGTGCCCCCTGGGCCTGTGCCTTTCCTGCCCAGGGACCTGGAAAAAACCTGACATCCCAGCAGGGACACCTGAGGCCCCAAAGAATCTAACGTCTCCAGCTCCAGGGCTCTGGACCCCTCTACCCTGCTTCCCCCAGGCAGAGAGAAACCCCTTCACTGTGCTGTTCCCTGCTTCACGGTATGAACCTCAAAGGCTCTCAGCTCAGGAGGCCCCCCTCCCCAAGGTCATCCTGACCAAGCCCCTGCTAAGGGCCACCCATGAGCCAGCTGGCCGATACATAATAGATCATCTAAAATCAGACTGCTCGCAGGGCAGGTACAGACTCTGGAACACAGCCACATGAACACTGCACGCTCTCTCTCAATATATATGCACGTGTATAGACAGATGCATCTCTGTTAACTTTTTCATCTGTCCCGTCCCTGTCACTTCGCCCTCCTGGAGTCCTCAGAGGAGCAAGAACGGGCAAGCACAGCCTCGAGCCTGTCAGCCGCTCCCCACCGCCCCAAATCAGCCCCCACGGCAACGCTGCCTGAAGTCCTGAGGCCCCTGAGGCGTCATGGGACCGCGCCAGGCCCGGGCCAGGAGCAGTGCCTTCCTGGGTCCTCAGGCTCACTGTGCACCTCTGGACTTCAGCAAAGGGCGCTGCGGCCAGGAGGGCAGCAAAGGCTTGCGGATTCCCCAGGGGGCTGCTCCGTCGTCTCTCCGTCTCCCGAGGAAGCCCGGCGGCTGGCGCTTTGGATCTCTCTTTCTCGGTGTCTGTCTCTCTCGTTCTGAGTCGCTCTCCGGACAACGAAGCAGAGAGAAGGCAGATGCTTGGCCCCGACCGGGCCTCCACGGTCTACAGCAGAAGCAGCGGCAGTCGGGTCAGCTTCTAGACTACAGGGCCTCTGCATCTTCCTCCCATGAGCAGGAGTGCCAGCACCGGGGAAAGGAGAGGAGGAAGGACACAGGCTCAGCGGGTCCCGCTGTACAGGCCAGCAGCTAGAAGAATGTCCTCAAACACACGCCTCGGGGAAGGGGGTGCGGGCAGGGGACGGGGCGGGCGGGCACGGGGAGGGGGCAGCAGCCAGGAGCTGCCGTCAGAGCTGGTTAAAGACCACAGAGGCCTGGACGTCGGCGGGCTCCAGGCCCTGGGCGAAGGTGAGGAGGAAGTACATGACCTTGCGGATCTTCGCCAGATCCGCCAGGCGCTCCCCAAACTCCAGGGCATCGGCCTCGTTCCAATCCATGGCGTCCGAGTCCTCCCTGCGCCAGAAGATGGCAGTGGGGTCCAGCAGCTGGCGCGTCATGAGGTTGGTGAGGTCGGGCGTCCAGTTCTGGGAGGTGCCCGTGATGGTGACCTTGCCGGGCTTGTCCAGCACCACGTCCCAGCGCTCGAACTGCAGCTTCTGCTGCCGGACGAAGTCCAGGCGGTACATGGCCTCGGCCGGCTGCAGCAGCTTCTCGCCGTCCTGGCGCCTCCCCCCGCGCAGCTTCAGGCTCTCCCCGCGCAGCCGCATCTGCCTGGTCAGGTCCTGGTCCAGGACCAAGGGCATGCTGAGCTGCAGCTGCTTCGGCCCGTCCGCCGCCATGCCCGGGTGCCGCCGCCGCCGCCGCCGCTCCTCGCGCGGCCGCCTAGGAGCGCGGTGTGCCGGGGCCTCGCCGCCAGGGCCAGAGGGCCCCCGAGGACGCCCCGCTACCCTTCGGCCCTCCCCCGGCCCCTCCCCTCCTTGCCCTGCCCAGTCCTCAAACGGGGGTGGGAGGCCCCCAGCGCCTCCTCTCCCCTCCTCCAAGAGGCAGTCATGGAGGCACGGGCCGCGGGCGGGAGGGCGACAGGCTCCTCGGGGACCAGGCTGCTGATGTCAACTGCTGTGGTAACCGCCCTGACTACCTGACTACCTGACGACCTCGGAAGGGCTTGTTTGTGAAGAAGGGAGCCTGCACGGGGCAGTGAGAAGGGGAAGGGGGTGGGGAGCAGGTGCTCGCTGGAGAGACTGGAAGACCCCCTGGCGGGAGGGTAGGGGGGACAAGGAACGGAGCGGTCCTGCTGATCGGAGATGTGCAGTCACCCCAGCCAGAGCCTGCAGCCTCACCCCTCCACACTCAACTGATCGGAGATGTGCAGCCACCTCACCCTCACCTCAGCCTCACCCCTCCACACTCAACAGCCAAGGCCTTCCTTCTGCCTCCCAGGGACCCTGGGAGCCCTCCCGGCCAGCCCCACTGCCAGGACTGGCCTGGCCACCACCACCACCTCTCACCTAAACCCCTGCGCAAAGTTTAGATCTCATCAGAATCCCCTGCAGGACTCAGAACACAATCACTGGGCTCTACCCCCAGCGCTTCTGATTTAATAGGGCTGACGAGGCCTGGGCATCTGCACTTCTACCAGCCTCCCAGGGGATGCTGATGCTGCCGGCCCAGGGCCTGTGAGAATCACTGACCTGCAGGATTCCTGCCCGCTGGCCCTGCCTCAACACGCCCGGGTCTCCTCCCACTAAAATCCCAGCACTTATTCCACCCACATCAAGCCTCAGTTTCCCCCAGGAGACTTGAGGCTGAGGAAGAATCTGACAGATGTTTGCATCTGCAGTGCCTGAGGCAGAACCAGGGGGCTCGGCTAGTATATTCCAGTAAATGGAAGAACTGGAATATGTGAGTGTATCTGGGCGTGGGAGAGAGGAGAGGGGAAGCTGCCATGACACGCCACACACAGAAAAGAGGACAGAGGCACAGGCCCAAGTGTAACAACTGAAAACAATCTAAAGGGTCTAGTGGACCACAAGCACAGTAACTGCTAGATGGAGGCTAAATCAGTCAGTGAGATCTTGGCTACCTGATCAGCAGGGGGTGACCAACGGGGACAGAGCATGTGAGCAGATAATATCTCAAGCCCTGAGGTCAGTTCTGGGGGTCGCTGGTGGCAATCCCCCAAGGGCATTCGAGAGGATGCAAGATGTCTAACTGCCTGACCCTCCCAGAACCTTTCACTCTGCACCTGCAGAGGAGAGGGAACAACACAGCTGAGGAATTACTGTTAAGTTAAGCTGGCACCTAGAATAGAGCTTGCCACATAGGAGGCCCTCAGAAGATGCTTGTTGAATGAATGAATGAATGAATGAATGGCACTGAGAAGAGAACTGATGATAGGGCCCAAGGCCAAGGACAACCAGAGGAAGATGTGCAGATGGGGAGAGTACACAGACACTGAAGCCAAAACGAGGTTTAGGGGCAGGTGTGTGTCGAAGTGCAGGATGAGGGACACGCCTGGAAGGTGAGGCCAAGGAGACTGGTCCTTCGGCGGAACACCTGCAGGAAGGACAGATGTAGGCGTGGGCTGTGGCCGCCATGGAGGCAGGAGGCCGAGGCGGCTGATGGTAAAGTCTGATGGAGCCACAAACAGGAACTGAGGCCAGGATGATGAGGGCAGGGCGTCAGCCACACGGGCGCGGTAATCCCTGGGACACAGCAGCACTTGGGTGGAAAAGGCCGGGAAATTAGAGGTGCCAAGTCCCTGGTGACCGAGTGGGAGATGGTCCACAGGGGTTGGCAACAAGGTGGGCAGGGCTGTGGGGCGTGGGGAGCCAACGGCATGAGCCTGTAGGGGCTTCCAAGTTGAGGGTGCGTTCTGGAAGCAGCACTGAGGAAAGAGAGAACGCCCACCCCCTCTCCGGACCTGCAGGATGCTGGGGGAGGTGTTCGGTTTCTACTGGTGGGGAGACCCAGGGGCTGCACGCCCCTGAGGAGAGCCTGGGCTCAGCCTGGGCTGGCTGCCAACCTGCAGGAGGAGGCTGAGGGTGGAAGGCGTCCGGGGCCTGGGCCTCAGACAGGCAGGGCAGGAGAGGCCCGAGTGGGAAGGGAGGAGAGGAAGGGGGCAGGAGGCTGTGGGTGGGGCTGGGCCCAGTGCCACCCACAGCTCTCTGCTCGGCCACCAGACACCTTGGGAAAACCCACTAAAGCCTGGCGTAGGAATGAACAGAGAAGAGCAGCAATATGTGATTGCAAAACTGTGTACTGAAAAGCAAAACAAACGCCTCTTTAACCCCAACTGGAGAAACAGTCTCGAAGGAAACATAGCAAACCCTAACCCTGGTTCTTTCTGGCTAAAGCAAGCCTTCAGCGACATAGTACCCGTGCACATCTTCAGTCCCCGGGCCTGGAATGGTGTGGGACACAGCTGGTGCTCAGTTACCAGGGCCGAATGAACTCTGTAGCTCACGGACATGAGCTGCGCGGATAACAGGGGCGGGGGAGTATTTTAAGTGGAACTGAGTCCTGCCACCACGTCCCTCCCCCGGCCGTGCCCCAGGACCGGCCACCCCCCAACACTCCCTCTCAGACAGCCAGGCACTCACTTCCACTCAGCTTTCCTCCTCTGGCCAGGGGCGCCTGAGGCTCGGAGCAGGGATCGGGCCTGCCCCATGCCAGGGCCTGCACCAGGCTCTGGGGGAGGTGAGCGCCCAGAATGAACCAGGCCTGATGGCAAATGCTCCACCCCACTGTCACATCCTGATTTCTGGTCCACAAAACCCAGTCACCTGAAGTCCACTGTCTCGCCCTCACAGAATGGACAGATGAGGTGGGGAGACCATAATGCCCCTGCCAGGGATCTCATAGGAGGGGGAGGCCCACTGCCAAGAGGTGTCTTGTAGAACAGAGGGACAGGTGGGGAACCCAGAGGCGGGGAGGGAGGGGATTTAGCACGGGTATATTGTCACTAAATGCCACAGGCTTACCCTCCCCCACCGCAGGCTCCGTTCATCCTCCTACAACTCTGGGGACTAGAAAGGTCAGGTTCACACCAAGGCCCAGAAGGAACCTTCCCTGCCCAGTGTCACACAACAACAAGGGACCCAGCCAGCATCCAACCCAGGTCTGGCTGGTTTCAAATCCTGTGCCCATCAGCCCCAGGCTGCACCAAGAGGTAAAGGGGTGGCTTCCTGGAGGAGGCGGTACTGTGTGTTGAGGGCATGGTGTACCAGCATCCTGAGGGTCAGCATCCCCAGAGTGAAGTGGTTGGCGGGTGTGGGGGTGCAGCTCAGGCTGAGCACCCCTGTTCCATGGAGAAAACAGGACGGGGCAGGGGAGGCCCTGCAGGGCAATGGGCCCTAAAGCGAGGGCTGACAACAAACAGGGCCCAGTCAGCAGGGACAGGAAGGGAGGTAAGGCAGTAATAAGCTCCCCAGGGCCCCCTACCTCCTTCTAGGGCCCAGGAGCTGTCACCACAGAAGCACCAGGAGGCAGAGTGCAATTAGCCAAGAGCACCTTGCTCTGCTCCAGCCTCCCGGGGACCCGAGCTCCTGGAGATCAGCTTCCAGGCCCTTAAAGCCTCCAGACCAGCCAGGCCAGGTGTCCTGTTACCCTGCAGGCAGAAGCTTCGGCCCAGAGACAAATAAACACAGACCCGCCACAGCATCAATGACAGTCCTCCTGCCTGTGGGTCCTGGGCCCCTTCTTCCACTCACTAGATGGGGTACCTGCGGCACCGCCGAAGGCCAGGCCCAGGACAGGACACACGGTAGGCGGAGCCTCCTCCCTACAAATGACCAGCGAGCCCATTCCCCGGGAGGGGACACGGTGGGCCAGGCTCTGGCCCCACTGACGGCCCCAGGAGGCACAGGGTAGGAGGGCCGGCCGTGGAGCTGCTGCCCAGCAGCTCGGTCCAACAGTTTGGGGAGGGGCTCTGTTCTCAAAACTTTCTCGAGCCTTCTCTGGGCCAGGATCCTGCTGGGCTCAGTGGGAAGACATAGTTGGGCCAGCTTTGCCCACGGGGAGCTCACCTCAAGAAGGGAGACCACAGGTAAACAGGGGATTATAGGGCAGGGTGGGAAGTACAGGGCCAGCCCCACAGGATCCCTGAGTGCCACCGTCAGCCCCAGACTGAGCCCTGACTTAGCTGCGGACGGGCTCAGAGGCTGGGGGACCTAGTTCTGGGCCCAGAGAAGGAGCCTGGAACCTGGAGACAGGGGGGCGAGGACAGAGAACAGCATCCAGAGAATAGCACTAGGCCCCAACCCTCTCTGGTCCTTGAGGCCCATGAGTGAAATGATCCCGCATGTGGCACTCTGAGGCCTTTCCAGCTTGGACATCCTACAACCACCCCCATCTATAGGCTGCAGCAGTGACCTTTGCTAGGGCCCTCCAGCACCTGTGTCCACAGGACCACCAGGAGCCAGATCCCAGGGATACCCACCCTGGGGTGGCTTTGAAAGGTCACACCCCCGTTCAGAAGACATGAGAGTAGGGCACCTAACACAGTCCCAGCCCCGGCTAAGGGCACAGCTCCCTCTGATGGCTGAGGGACGCTCCCTGCTTGCCTGGGAATACCCATTATGTTCTATGAATATTAATTATCAAAACACGGGTAATGCTGTCACCATTCACTGGGCACTGCACTGCACAGGCCCTTTGAGAAGTGTCTCAGATAGGAGCTACCCTCACATCCTGGTTTTTCGGATGAGTAAATGGAGCTAATTATAAAGCTACCAAATGGTGAGGCAAGGGCTTCAACCTAAGCCATAAGGCTGACATGCCCAGAGCTTGTAAGCCCTGCTGCTAGCTCCTCAGAGCAAGGGCAGGAAGGGCAGGGATGCGCAGGGGACTGGTATCTGCTAGCACAGGAACCCAGCATGCAGTCCTGATGGATTACTCCATAGAGACCAGCAGTCCAGCCTCTACCCCAGCCTCCCCGCCTCCCCGGGAAGGGAGCTCTCAGTGTGGGATTAAAGGGCTGCACTGCCAAGTGCCGCCACAAGAGGGCGAAGTGTCACGACCGGAGCCAGTTCTTTCCAACCTAAGCCCTTGGTGCTGGTCCAGAACATCAGCACCTGGAACCACGAATCATGAAACAAAACCAGCTGGATTACTCCCGCTGAACAAGTGAGAAAACTGAGGCCAAGACAAGGACAAGGACTGGCTAAGTCTCTACAGCAGGTACTGGCAGGGGGCCTCCTGAGCCCCAGTTAGTGGGGTCTTCTCACACTGCACCTGATTCAGGCAGTTTCCACATTTCACAGGTGCAGATTCTGCCAGGTGGCTCCAGGGACACCGTGGGCCCCCAGGGTTCAGGTGGGGACACATGAGAATGCCCTTGGGAGCTACAGAGATTCCCAGCACCCGGCCCTGGAGAGCCTAAGCCGGCAGGTGAGGGGCCAGCAATTCTGCTGTTCAGCCAATGCCGGGAGCCGTGGTGTCACCCCCCCCCCCCCCCCCCCCACCGCACAGGTGTTCATAAAGTCAGGCTGCACCTCGCCTGTCCGGCAGCGAGGGCCCCATCCCAGGCCTCACCTTCTGCCACAGTGACTCCCGGGAGGCAAGCGACGAGCAGGCCGCCACAAACCAGCAGTTGCCCACTTGGCCCTGGTGCAGGTCGTGGGAGCTGATGCCATCCACAAAGAGGCGGGGGTCCTCACATATGTCCTGCAGAGAAGCCAAGCGGAGACCTCACTGTCAGTGTGGAGATTCGCCCGCCTCCCCTTGCAGACTGGGGGCCCCATGTGGCCGGTTTCTCCAAATCCAGCTCCCTACAGGTGCTGCCTGGGACGCCCTTCTCCCTTCCCCTGGCTGAAAAAGTCTACCCTTCAGCGCCAGAGGTTCAATGATGAAAAGATGCTGTGGAAGGACTTAGGGGGACTGGCCCCGGGGCACCCCCTTCCTCCTGCCCTCTGTGCTCTTCCCCAACCAGCAAAGGGTCAGTTCCTACCCTCCCCCAGCAGCAGCAACCCTGCAGTGCCCACACCAGCCCACCCTCAGGGGCCCCCAGTCACAAAGAGGGTGGGGGCCCCGCACAGAAACAAAGAACAAACTCAGGGAATGAATGAGTGGCAAAGGGCAGGGGAGAAGCAGGGAGCTGACCGTGCCACGTCCGGGGCCGGCACAGCCTCAGGCTGTCTCACTGGACCCTCGACCCACCTGAGGAGTGTGGGGTTGTTATTCCAGTTTACGGACGAGGAATGAAGAAGGTTCAGAGAAGGGCAGTGACTTGTCAAGGACACATAGCAAGCAATGCCGAGCAGAGCTCCCGGAGGGCCTTTCGTGTGGCCAGTGTGGGCCAGAGGGGCCGGGCGGGGACAGGGCTGGGTATGAAGGCGGTTGCCTTCCCCCTTCACAGTCCAGGTCTCTGCTCGGGGCACCCAGGTGCCCACCTGTGTCCCGAAGCATCTTCACTCCACAGAGCTGAGAGGGAGGTGGTGAACACTGAGACGGGCCTTCCGACGGGATCCTGCTGGT